AGCCGCACCACTGCCCCGTGTGCGGCAAGGCCTTCGGCCACGGCTCGCTGCTGGCCCAGCACCTGCGCACGCACGGCGGCCCGCGACCGCACAAGTGCCCGGTGTGCGCCAAGGGCTTCGGGCAGGGCTCGGCGCTTCTCAAGCACCTGCGCACGCACACGGGCGAGCGGCCCTACCCGTGCCCGCAGTGCGGCAAGGCCTTCGGCCAGAGCTCGGCGCTGCTCCAGCACCAGCGCACGCACACGGCCGAGCGCCCCTACCGCTGCCCCCACTGCGGCAAGGCGTTCGGCCAGAGCTCCAACTTGCAGCACCACTTGCGCATCCACACGGGCGAGCGGCCCTACGCCTGCCCCCACTGCTCCAAGGCCTTCGGGCAGAGCTCGGCGCTGCTCCAGCACCTGCACGTGCATTCCGGGGAGCGCCCCTACCGCTGCCAGCTCTGCGGCAAGGCGTTCGGCCAGGCCTCCAGCCTCACCAAACACAAGCGGGTGCACGAGGGCGCAGCCGCCGCCGCCGCCGCCGGCTGCTCTCGGGCCTCACGTCCCGCGAGGCCGTGGTCGCTGCCGCTGCCGCCGCCGCCGCCGCCGCCGCCGCCGCCGCCGGCCTGGGCCTCAGCCCTGCTTCCGTGTTGAGGCCCGGGCAGGTCTCCCTCCTGGGTCCCGAGGCTGTCTCTGTGCTTGGCTCCGGCTCCGGCGCGGGCCCTGACCCTGGCTCTGTGCTGGGCTCCCTCCCCAATCCCAGCCCCCAAGCCATCCCTGGCTCCCGATCTACCCCCACCCCTGATCCTAGCGAATCTTCTGACCCAAAGTCTGGTCGCGACGCCAATCCTGACCTTGTGGCCAGCCCTGATCACGGATCCGGTCCCAGCCCCGACTCGGATCCTGTGCCCAGCCCAGAGCCCAGCCCCGAGTCCCATCCTGACCCCTGCTCTCCTACCCATGACACTGTCAGGCACCCCCTCCCTGCTGGCGAGAGTCCCGGGTGGGTGCAGGAGCAAGGGGCGCTGCTGGGGCCCGATGGCTGAAGGGGACGCTGGCAGCCACTGGGGGCCGGGGCGAGTTGTGTGTTGTGCGGTTAGTAAAATCTTCTCACTGCCTCCTGGCTCTGCTTCGTGGTTCTCTTGATTCTCATTGTCCCCTAATGCACAGCCCCTTCCCCGGGTGATGGGAGGGTGTGGCCTGGACCAGCCACACATCTGGAACCCCAATGTCCTGGCTTCCCCCCCACACAACCTCCAGGCTTCCCAGCTTCCCCCACAAGGTCTCGCACTGGTCCATTCCACTAGATGCCATTCTCTGCTCCCCCAGACCTGGCCACCCTAGTCAGGAACAGACTTGCCCCGCGGGTAGTCTGAGCAGCATCCTCTCCCTTTGGCTTTTCCAGGAATGGAGGAATTTCTGGCATGTTGACAGTCTAGTGGGCTGATAATGGAGGCTGCTATGAAACCATGTGGGCAGCCCCGCCCCATTCGCTTCCTTAATTTACCCCTTGCCCTTCAAAGCCCACATTACAGGTACACCACTGGACAAGGAGGTCACTCATTTATGCGTTCAACAAACCTCTGTTGATTGCTCAGATCTCAGCAGGGAGCAAGATAAGCATGGCCTTGGCCCTCACCGAGCTCACAGATACCAAATTCAGAAACACTTAAAAAGTAATTACAGGGTATTGTACATTCTAGAAGAAGCATCACAAGACTTCTGATTGAGATGAGGGACAGTTTTCCCGAGGGAGGACTTTATAATCTCAATAACCATTCCTTTAATCCTCAGTACTGTTTGCCCAGCCTCGTGCTAAGCGCTTGCATTTTCTCATTTAATTTTCTCAACAGTTCCATGAGGCAGATAACTATGATGGAGTAGCCCTATTTTGCAAATGAGGAACCTGAGGCACATGGAGTTTATGGGACTCTTTGGAAGACATAGAAGTGGCGGTTGGCAGTGCCTAGATTTAAACCTGAACTATCTGCCCTCCAGAGCCAGCATTCTTAACCATTATGCTCCAGGGCAGGATTGTGCAAAGGCCCCGGGGCCATTGAAAAAAAAATGAGCTAGGGGAGAAGGTGGGGGCCAGTCTACCAGCAGGCCCTGGTAGACTGAAGTGGGGACTTTGCTTGTCATCCCAGAGAAATGGGAAGCCACTTGCACCAGCAGAGGACTGACATGAATTATTCTTTGAAGATGCTTCTGGCTGCTGGGTGGAGAGTGGAATGGAGGAGTCAGGAGTGGGTGCCTCAGATCATGGAGGAATTTGCTGCAGTGGTTCAGGCCAGGAATGTTAGGGGACTCTGGGCTGAGGGCCATAGGAGTGGGGATAAGTGGTCCTATTGGGGATATAATTAGGAAATGAAATAGGATTTGCTAATAGTTGATATGAAAGGGGCAGAAGGAGGAGTTGAGAGTAATCCCCGGGGTTTCTGGGAGGATGGAGGGGTGCAGCCCTGAGCTAGGAGCAGGGTCACCACCGGACACCGCAGATGGTAAGTGGTCAAGGATCGGACATGGAAGTCAAGAGGCTGGCACTAGACGCGGGCGTGGCAGCGAGCCAGGACGCAGCCAGTCCTCTGTTGGCGCTCTCAGAGCCAGCCCATCCCCCAGCACATGGCAGAGCAGGTCGGCGCTAGGACCTGGCGACCGCCCTCGGCGCGCGGGCCGCCGGCTGAGGCGCGCATGCGTGCTGCTCCGGCAGTGGCCGCCGTGGCGCAGGGGGCGGGCCGGGTGCGGTCACGTGGCTCCAGGGGGCGCCCTGGTCACGTGAGCGCGGCGCGAGTCAGCTGATGCGGGAGGGTTTGAAGCAGCGCCGCGAGGGAGGGAGGCCGCAGGGACGGCGGCGGGCTCGGACCCCGGCTGCCCCGCCTCGCCCGGCGGCACCATGGCAGCCCGCGTGGGCCGTCGCGGCTCAGGTGAGGGCGCGGGCCCCCGATCGCGGGCGGCGGGCGGCCGGCCGGCTCCCCGACCTGGGGCGGCGGAGCTCCCAGTTTCTCCTTCCCCGCCTCCGGGGCCGAGCTCTCAGCCTCCCCGGCGGGGAGACATGGGCAGGCGGCTCCTAGAACCTGGGCGGCGGGTGGGCACCCGCCTCTCCGACCTGGGGGTGCTGAGACTCCCCACTGCCCTTCTTGACCCCACGCTCTGCTCAGAGTTCCCCAACTTGGTCAGCGAGGAGACCAGGATTTGCATTCTGAGTCTCGGTTCCGATTGCTCGGCTTTGCTGGAACTCAGGCGGCGGGCACCAGCTCCTTCAGCCCGTGCGTGAGGCTACCAGGTTATCCTTCTGCAATCCAGGGGGCACATGCCCAGCTTTTCTATAAACTCAGGTGGCGGGCTGGAGGAATTGCCTCCTTGAACCCAGGAGCCTAAGCCAATTTCAGCTCTCTAAACCGTGGAAGCTTAGCTTGCCTGAACTCAGGCGGCGGGGGCCCAGCCTCTTCAGCCTCCGCCTCTCAGGTGGGAGCCTGGAGGAAGACCCTTGTGTTAGTTTCCCCCTCTGAGCTTGCTGGAGGCACCTGAAAGGTGGTGGGGTCTGGAGTGAGTGAGCTGTGATCCCAGCTGAGGAGGCGGCCCGACCTCTGGCTTCCGATCCATCTGCCTTGTAAACAACCACGGTAGCATCTGAGCTCCAAAGCGACTGGCTCTCCCTGCAGGACAGGTTGTGACGGTTCCACGGTCACCCTGAAGGCCACGCCAGGCAGGGGGCCAGCCAGGCGCTGGAAAGGAACAAGGTTCTCCCAGTGGGAGCCGTGGGGGTGTGTCAGGGACGGTTCTGGGCCGCAGTGACCAGCTGTGACCCCAGCATCGGGGAAACTTTGGACCTTCCTCTTAGGCGGGTCAGGATGGAAGGGAATGAGCGGTGCTGAGAACAGCCTCTGTTTGCTGAAGAATTATTGAGACTCCGGCCGAACTGCTTTGTCTGACTTCATTCTCAGAGCACTGTCAAGAGTTTCGGCCCCAGGCATAGACTCTTTTAATTTCCACTTTTCAGATGAGGAGACTGAGGCTTAGAGGTGCCCGGGGTCACCTGACAGGGAAGTGACAGGTCTGGGATTTGCTCCTAGGGCTGTGTGGTTTCCGGGAGCTGGTGCTGTTAAGGAGATGCCATGTTAGATCATAAACTAACACACACGCAGTGCCATCGTAATCTCCTGACGCACAGTGAGTCTTCAGGAATGTGTTCCCTTATTATGACTGTTATTATCCATCTGTCCTTCTCCAGGCCTGTGGCTTGTGAGAGTATCAGTCAGATCATGATGAGTGAGAAGGTCATCCTTTGAGTGTTTTTCCAGAAAAAAGCAGAATGCGCTGAGCTCCATGCTCACGTTTGGAGGCTAGAGTTGGGATGGGCCCGGGAGCCTCCAGTGCCGTGTGAGAGGCTAGCGGAAGCCGTTCCTTGTCCCCCCACAAATCAACCACAGGAACAATGAAGGAATGTTCAGACATTGTTCCCATGTTCCCGCCCCTGTGAGAAACGCTTTGTAAGCAGATCTTCAACTTCCCAGTGAGAGATGGTTGTGCCTTGTTTTGCAGACAGAAAGCTGAGGCTCAGAGAGGCTGTGCCCTAGCCGAGCCAGTGAACAGCAGAGTCAGGAATCAACTGTTGAGTCCCACACCCAAACGTGTAATTGCTGAGCGGCACCGCTGCATATATGCAGTCATGTGCCGCATAACGACGTTTCGGTCAATGACGGACCCCATATACAACAGTGGTCCTGTAAGATTAATACCATACAGCCCAGGTGTGTAGTAGGCTGTACCATCTAGGTCTGTGTAAGCACACTCTGTAACGTTTGCGCGACGACAAAATTGTCTAACGACGCCTTTCTCGGAAGGTGTCCCCGTCGTTAAGTGATGCACGCATGACTGCACATAGAATGTTGCTGTTTCTGGGTTTTCTTAGATCCCTAAGTTCTTTCTTGGCTGGAGCATGGCGCTCCGAGGAGAGGCCGTATGCTGCCTCCTGTTGGCAGGGGTCCTGCCTGGGCTTGGTCCCCACCAGCCTCTCCCATTCCCACAGAGACCGAGCGCCTCCTGACCCCCGGCCCTGGGTATGGGACCCAGGCGGGGGCCTCGCCGGCCCCTCTGACCCCTCCGGAGGAGGAAGACCTCCGCCGCCGGCTCAAGTACTTCTTCATGAGTCCCTGTGATAAATTTCGGGCCAAGGGTCGCAAGCCCTTCAAGTTGATGCTGCAAGTGGTGAAGATCCTGGTAGTCACTGTGCAGGTGAGAGCAGCAGGGGCCCCGGCAGAACGCCACCTGTGGCCGCGGTATTCCTCGAGGGAGAGTCTTGGAGTCGGAGCCTAGTCCTAACGCCGCAGGAGCATGATAGTGATAATGGCAGTGATCAGCCAGGAGGCCCTCTGAGGTCCTGGCAACGGCTATCGCCCTATTTTATAGCTGAGGCAACTGAGGCTCAGAGAGGTTAAGCAACTTGTTGAAAGTCACACAGCAACTGAGCATTGGGAGCTGGCACTTGAGTCTAAGCAGTCTGATGCCATGTTGACCCTCAAAGAGAACCGACCCAATGGCTGAACACATAGTTGTCCGCCCTCCCATGCCAGGCTCTGTGCTGGGCGCTGGGGACCCCAAGATGAATCAGACCCAGCCCCTGCCCTGAGGAGCTTGTGTAGTGCTGGGATGCGGGCACATTACCAGGCGTCTGATTTCCCCTCGGTAAAGGGGCCCACTCGTGGTACTTACCATGTTGGTTGGGGTTTAGCACAGAGGCCGCCGTCCGGCAAACATTTAATTAACATCAGTCGCTGTCGTGAGATATAGGAGCGCCCACCGTGTGCTGCGCATCAGGGACATATGGTGGGCGTGGCAGATGGGGACGGGGTGGGGGACAGTCTTTACTCCTCCCCTCCTACCCTGAGGGAGGCCCCATGCGGGCAGTGCCAGCCCCTCTGTCCGTCCCCCCAGCTCATCCTGTTCGGGCTCAGCAACCAGCTGGCAGTGACCTTCCGGGAGGAGAACACGGTCGCCTTCCGACACCTCTTCCTGCTGGGCTACTCCGACGGGGCGGATGACACCTTCGCAGCCTACACGCGGGAGCAGCTCTACCAGGCCATCTTCTACGCCGTGGACCAGGTGTGGGTGGTGGGGGCTGGTGGGCGGGTGGGCAGCGGAGAGCGGGTGGGCCTGATGGGCTGTCCCCGTCTCTGCCCACAGTACCTGCTGCTCCCTGATGTGTCCCTGGGCCGGTATGCCTACGTGAGGGGTGGGGGCGGCCCCGGGGCCAACAGCTCAGCCCTGGCTCTCTGCCAGCGGTACTACCACCGGGGCCACGTGGACCCGGCCAACGACACCTTTGACATCGACCCGATGGTCGTCACCGGTGAGTGCGCAGGGCAGGGCGTGGCTGTCGGGAGCCTGGGCTGCTGGGGTTCCAATCAGTGCTGCCCCCTGCTCGTCGGGGGACAGGGTTGTTGCCATCATCAGTCATTTGATGTATGCAACGTGCGTAGGAACGTGGGGCGTGCAGAAAGAGCCGGTGTTATTTTTTAGTGTCATTAATTCACTAAACATTTGGGGGCCCACAGAGTGCCAGGCCCTAGGGTCTGCATAGGGAATGAGACGGGGTGGGGGGAGACAGCGGGGAACACACAACTGGTGAGGTGCAGGGTGGGAGGTGAGCCAGGGAAAGGTGCTGTCGGGGACTCTGGGGAGACCAGCTCATGCCTTCCCCACCCCCAGTGTCCCTTCCCTGCCTCCCTGTCCTCAGACTGCATCTGGGTGGACCCCCCCGAGAGACCCCCACCACCCCCCAGCGATGATCTCATTCTCTCTGACAGCAGCAGCAGTGCCAGTTACAAGAACCTCACGCTCAAATTCCACAAGTACTGCTCGATGGATGGAGAGGGCCGCCCCAGGGCTGTGCCGAGGGTGGGGGAGGCAGGAGGCCATGCCCCCTGGGGCCACTTGGGCAGGGGCAGGGGCAGGGGCCGGCCCTGCTGACTCCTGCCACGTGAGCAGCTCCTCTGCCAGCTGCAGAGTCAGCGTGGGGCAGACGCTGCTCCCTGGGCAGGAGGGACCCACAGAGCCCCCGCCCCTCACCCGAGCCTCCCCCACAGGCTGATCAACGTCACCATCCACTTCCAGCTGAAGACCATCAACCTGCAGAGCCTGATCAACAATGAGATCCCAGACTGCTATACCTTCACCGTCTTGGTGAGCCCAAGGGCCTTGGGCCCAGGCGGCGGACACTCTGGTGATCTGGGGTGGGGGTGGGGCATAGGGCTCCTGAGGTCTGGGGCTGGGGGCCCTGGGCAAGGGCAGCGTGGGGGCAATGGGGTGATGGGGAGGCTGGGGCCGGACAGACCATCTGTCATGCGGGCCCCGGTTTAGTCTGCCTCCTCCTGTCCCGCCGCACCCCTGTAGATCACGTTTGATAATAAGGCGCACAGTGGGCGTGTCCCCATCAGCCTGGAGACCCAGGCCGACATCCAGGAGTGTAAGCACCCCAGTGTCTTCAGACACGGTGAGCCCCCAAGTCCCAGACCAGGGGCTCGGACCTGCCCAGGGTCCTCCAAACCCCAGACCAGCACAGACCACGGGCCCCAACCTGCCTGGGGATCCCTGAGCCCCAGACCAGTGCTGACTAGAGGCCCTGACCTTCCTGGGGATCTCCAAGCTCCAGACCAGCACTGACCAAGCTCCTGACTCACTCAGAGTAACCCATGAGCCCGCTGACCAGCCCAGTGCAGCCCTGCAGCCCCCAGGCCTGGCCCAGCCCCAGCCCCGGCCCGACCCGCAGCCCTCTCCCTGCAGGAGACAACAGCTTCCGGCTCCTGTTTGACGTGGTCGTGATCCTCATCTGCGCCCTCTCCTTCCTGCTGTGTGCCCGCTCGCTGCTCCGAGGCTTCCTGCTGCAGAATGTGAGAGCCGCCCCCAGCCGCGCCTGGCTCTGGGGCGATCGAGGCGGGGGGGCGCGAGGGTCCCATGCCTGGGCAGGCCCTCACCCCGCCTGCCTGCTGCAGGAATTTGTCGGGTTCATGTGGCGGCGGCGGGGACGGGTCATCAGCCTGTGGGAACGGCTGGAATTTGTCAACGGCTGGTACATCCTGCTGGTCACCAGTGATGTGCTCACCATCTCGGGCACCATCATGAAGATCGGCATCGAAGCCAAGGTAGGTCCTGCCCCAGCCTGCCCGGGGCCCTGTCATCTCCTTTCAGACCCTGGCCCCCGTCCCACCTCGTCCCCAGGTCCTGTCCCTGCCGATGCCCGCCTGGGGCGACATCCCCCCGAAGGGCCAGGCCAGATGTGGTTGACACTTCTTCCCTGCTCAGAACCTGGCGAGCTACGACGTTTGCAGCATCCTCCTGGGCACCTCGACGCTGCTCGTCTGGGTCGGGGTGATCCGCTATCTGACCTTCTTCCATAAGTACAACGTAAGCCTCGGACACGCAGGCGGGGCCCTCTGGGTGGCATCCACATACCCCCAGGTTCCTACTCCCCCAAATAAATTCATCCACATACAGCAATCACCAGCCTCTGTGGATGGCCTGTCTCAAGTGTGTTCTTATACCTGCCCACCCCAGACGTGGTTGTCACTACACCTGGGCAGGGGCCACATGAGCTTGCCCCTTCATCCCTCCTCCAGCTGAGGCCAGCCACGGGGTGCCCCTTCTAAGCTCCCCCCGGCTTCCACGCACCCCCCCCCCCCCCCCCCAGTGTGCCCTCGGCCGGGTCCTGCCTGCCTCACCTCCATCTGCATGGCCGAGCTGGGTTGTGGTCATGCCATCGCCTCCGCCCCCACCTGCCCCACAGATCCTCATCGCCACGCTGCGGGTGGCCCTGCCCAGCGTCATGCGCTTCTGCTGCTGTGTGGCTGTCATCTACCTGGGCTATTGCTTCTGCGGCTGGATCGTGTTGGGGCCTTACCACGTGAAGGTAGGGGCTAGAGGGGGTGCTCGTGACCCACCGTCCAGGGGCCCTGGCTCCCGTCCCCCGAGCCCACTTCCTAAGCCCTCCAACCCGTGGTCTGTGCATCATTGACCTGGCGACACAGAATGACCCACTGTGAGCCCTGCTACCTGACCAGCAGGTCTGCCCAGCATCCCCTCTGAGCCCGGTGCCCCTGCCACGCCCCCGGCTCCCTCTGACCCCACAACCCCACTCCCGGCGCAGTTCCGCTCGCTGTCCATGGTGTCGGAGTGCCTGTTCTCGCTCATCAACGGGGACGACATGTTCGTGACCTTCGCGGCCATGCAGGCGCAGCAGGGCCGCAGCAGCCTCGTCTGGCTCTTCTCCCAGCTCTACCTCTACTCCTTCATCAGCCTCTTCATCTACATGGTGCTGAGCCTCTTCATCGCGCTCATCACCGGCGCCTACGACACCATCAAGGTCAGCCGCCCGCCCGTGCACGCAGCCCCCAGCTCAGGCTCGGGCTCGGCCACAGTGGGGCCCCAGGGGCACCCGGCAGGGTGAGGAGAGGAGGACCAGGGAGATGGGGGAGACTCCGCGAAGCCAAAGGAGAGGTGGCTCACAATCGGGGGGCACAGGGGGCACTGTATCATCCCGGTCACAGCTGCCACGTTCTCTGTTTTATCAAGGACGGGCCTGGCCAGGTAGGATTCCTGCGTCTGCTTTTTCCAACAGGGAACCCGAGCCGTACGGTTTCAGTGACTTGCCCGAGGTCAGAAACTAAGTGACGGAGGCAGGGTCAACCCAGGACTGTCCGATTCCAGAAGCCCTCTGTCCTGTGGGGTGGCCTGGGTGGGGGCTGTTTGGGTCTGGGGAACGGTGGTAGTCTCTGCAGCCTGCAGGGGTCAGAGGAGAGACAGGGGTCGGAGCAGAATGTGGGCGTGGCAGGTAGCCAGGATCCTTTGAGCAAACATGTCCGAGGGCCTGTTGTGGGCCGAGCCCTGTGCTGGGCGCCAGGCCGCTGGGAAATAAGACGTTCACGGTCTGTCCACGGCCGGTGGGCAAGGTGGCGGATGCCTGAACGGAAATAGGATGACCGACCAGTGAGAGGTGCAAAGGAAGTGTGGAAGGTCACAGGGGGCGCCCCTGCTTTTGACCGGTACTGGGGTGAGTCCAGGAAGGTTTCTAGAATGTGCCATCCAATCCTAGTCTCTAGCCACAAGTGACTGTTTAAATTTTAACTTTAATTGAAAGGAACTACAATTCCAAATTCAGTTTCTCACTGACACCATCCACGTATCAAGTGCCCCAAAGCCAACGTGGCTAGTGGCTACCAGATTGCACAGCATAGATATCAAACAGTCCCATCATTTCAGAAAGTTCTAGAAGAGATGGGAGTCCAAGGGAGAGAGCACAGGAGGGACGGATCAGCGAAAGCACAGACTTAGTAGCCAGAGAGGACTTGAAGAGATGATGGTTCCTCCACAAGGTTGAGGGGGGAGGAGGGAAGGCTTGGCTGAAATCCAGAACATTGTCTCCAGCTGGGGGTGAGGATGTGTACAGCCCCGCTCCCCATGCAGGGATCCAGCCATCCCGCAGACACACGCCCGTCACTCAGGCCGAGGAGCCCCCACGGTCTTGCTCTACACTTAAACATCACTCCCGTGTATCAGCCTGGGGTGGACAAGCCCGGGTCTTGCTCCCTCTGTGTGCACCCAGCTCATTCAATAGAGGGTTATCAGGCACCCAGGTGGTGTCAGGCACAGCTCTGGCTGCGGGAGCTGCAGCAGAGGGCACCAGCTGACTAAGATGTGTGCCGTGCACACATGCAGGGGTCAGAGAGTCTCTCTGTGAAGTGATCCATGAGGAACAACAGGTGGAGGGCACAGCGAGTGCAAAGGCCCAGAGGTGGGAGCCTGGTTGGTCTATGAGGAGCAGCAAGGAGCCCCAGGTGGCCGGAGAGGAGGTGGAGGGGAGGGCCAGCCTGGAGGGGCCCCTTTCATGCTGGGCCACCGGCATCTCTCCTCAGCACCCAGGCGGTGCGGGCACAGAGGTGAGCGAGCTCCAGGCCTACATCGCGCAGTGCCAGGACAGCCCCACCTCTGGCAAGTTCCGCCGAGGGAGCGGCTCAGCCTGCAGCCTCTTGTGCTGCTGTGGCAGGTTCGAGTCCCAGTGGGTTTGGGGATTGGGGGCTGGGGGCAGTGGGGCGGGCCAGAGGGAAGTGATGCCTGCCACCCTGCCTGACGCGGCCCCTCCTCCAGGGAGGCCTCGGAGGAGCATTCGCTGCTGGTGAATTGACCCGGACCACAACTGCCACTGGACATTAGCCCCTGGACTTCGGAGACCCATGCTTATTTATTTTTAGGGTTTGCTTTTAAGGACCGGCTCCGTGCAAAGCCCTGTGAGGGCCTGGACCAGTCGGGTCGGACATGAGGTGGGCGGGTGTTAAATAAACGGGAAAAGAAACTTGTTGTTTTCATTTCGAGTGGGAGGGGCATTCCCTGCGCCAACCGGTGTCCTGCCCCTTTAAGGCGGCGACACAGCGTGGGAGGCCCCGCGCGACCTTCGAAACATGGCGGGGGGCGGGGCTGCGGCGCGCGCTGCGGGGAATAAATTAAAGGGGCCGCGCCTGCAGCGATGGGCAGAACGCTAGCCGTGGTGGCGCAGGGTGGACCCCGGCTGCGGCCCCTCGGTGAGTCCGGGTTTCCGTCGCCCCCACAGGGGCGCCCATTCTGGGGTCGTTAGCGAGCCCTCCGCTTTCCCAAGCTCTGTCCTCCGCCGATTCCCGGTATCCCCCGACTTGCCGACGCTGCCATCCCCCAGTTCCCGGCAGGTGTGTCTGCACCGGTAGTCAGGTGCGCTCTAGAGTGGAAGGGGGTTAGTCCCCCATGAGTTTTCCAGATAATGTCTCAAGGGCCCAGTGACTCCTCCAAATTTCCATTAATATTCTTAGTGGCGCCAGAAACATCCTCAGCGTCCCAGAAAAGTCCCAGGAATATTCTAGCATTACTCAGTATCTTCCAAGCAGCCCGCCCCCCACCACCCCAGGCCCGCTCTCATGCTCTAACGACCCCAGGGACTTGCCCTCCCGGCTCTTTGTTTTCCCAGTAATAGTCCTGTATTCCTCAGAATCTCTCAGTAACTTCCAGTGACGGCCAGGAATTCCAGCGTCCCTGGTTACGTCTCCCAGCAATGGCGGCAGCATCGTCCCCTGTGATGCTCCGCACCACCAGAGCTCCTATGACTGTTACGTGACGGTAAATCTCCAGCATCAACCAGGAATACCTTGCGAGCCCACCCCACTCCGAGCGTCCCAGGACCCTTCCGAGAAGAGACCTCGGCACCGCCCCGGGACCCCTTGTGTGGGTGGTCCCGCCGGCACTCCCGTGCGCCCCAGCCCCTGCTCTCCCCGGAGGCAGGCTTGGACCGGGAGTCAGGCGTCTCCCGGACCCCGTGCCTTGCGGGCCCCCGTTTTCCGCGGGTGAGCATCCAATCTTCGCAGCGGGGGGTACAGGGGTCCGGCCTACGGATCGGTGAGTCAGGATTGATCAGTCCCGCGGGGCAGATGCCGGGAAGGGGGCCACTTGCGAGAGGGAGCTGTGCCCTTCGGGGACCCGTGCGCTGGCTGCTGACAGTGGGTGCCCGGCCGGCTGCCCTTCGGCTCCAAGGTGGGGTTGGACAGGTAGGGTGTCTGGTCAGTCCAGTGTGTAGGTGAAGGAACCCAGGTCAGGAGCCGGGGCCCCGAGGTCAAATGCCCCACCCCTCTGCGCCGCAGGGCCCCTTTAGCCGTCCACTGGCCGGCGGAGAAACCGCCCTGGCGGCGGGTACTAAGGGGCAGGGCTTGCGGCAGGGGAGGGGCGGGCCCAGAGTGACAACTTGCACAGTTTCCTCCTGCTTCTTATTCCCCAGGACTCCGGCCTACCAGACGGGCGGTCCACCCTGAAAGAAGTGATGGAGGCTCCGCTGCAAACAGGAATGGTAAGGGTCGGGAGGTTGTGCAGCGCCGAGGGGACTACAACTCCCGACGTGCTCAGCGCGCATCATCGCGGCCCGGCGAGACCAGGCTGCGTCTGTTCGGGCGGAACTACGTTTCCCGGCGTGCCCCGCGGGCCGCCGAGCCGCAGGGAAGAGTGGAGCCCCCGGGGAGGGAGCCTCGCCGGGCCATTCTGCAGATGGGGACGCCGTGCCCCGGGCCGACCGCGACCTCCTCGGGGGCGGAGCGGGATGGGCTTCAGGGCGTCCCGGCCCCCGGGGAGGACTCGGTGGGGCGGGTATGTGATGCGCAGCCAGTGCCGTTCGTCCCGCAGGTGCTGGGCGTGATGATCGGGGCCGGAGTCGCGGTGCTGGTCACGGCCGTGCTCATCCTCCTGCTGGTGCGGAGGCTTCGAGTGCCGAGTGAGGACCCGGAGGGCCCCTCCGGGAAGGCTGGGGGGTGGGGAGCTGAGATGCCCGGGGCCCTGCGGCAGTAGAGATGGGATTTGCTGGAGTCTGCGCGCTGCGTCCCCATCCCTGGCTGCTTGGGGTCTGCGTAGACCTCAGAGCGCCCCTCTCCCCACTTATCCCCAGAAACGCCAGCCCCGGATGGCCCGCGGTATCGATTCCGGAAGAGGGACAAAGTGCTTTTCTATGGCCGGAAGATTATGCGGAAGGTGAGTCCAGGACCCCCTGGGGCCCCCGCAGACATATAAATACCCTGCCTTTCCCCCGGTTATGCTTCTTGGTAAGCCCGCCCTCGTTGCTAAGGACCTCTGAATCTGCCCGCCTCTTCCCTGAGGTCCGAACTGGCGATTGAGCCACTCCTCCCGCCCCTTAATCCTTCCAGGTGTCACAATCCACTTCTTCCCTGGTGGACACCTCCGTCTCCACCACTTCCCGGCCACGCATGAAGAAGAAGCTTAAGATGCTCAACATTGCCAAGAAGTAAGGCTGTGCTGGGTGTACCTGGCGCGGGGGGCTATCTCAGGGGTCTTTTGAGTGATCATCTCACACTGAAAGGTGTATCTCAGGGTTCTTTGAACCCCACGGACTGCTTTGGGAGTCTTCCCACAAGAGAGGGACTATCTCAGAGCTCTCGCACACCAGAAAAACTCTCTTTGGGCTCTCCGTCCCCTGAGGGCTATCTTAGTGATGGTCCCCATCCGGGGGGGCTCTGTGAGGCATCTCACCTCCAGTGGGTATCTCAGACACCTTGTCATACATGTAGGGGTCTACCTCTGGGCTTTCCTTGTAGGCTGTTTCATGGATCTCCCCACCCAAGAGGTGCCCCAGTGGGGTGATCTCAGGCGTTTTTGTGGCCTGCTGGAGGGGCTAGCTCTAGCTTCTGTTCCTTAGGGGTTATCTCAGCAATCTCTATATCAGAAAGCATCTCTTGACCTTATCTACCTTGGAATTCTTCCCACACTAAGAAGCTATCTCAGGGGTTTCTACTCCCCAGGCATTATTTCAAGAATCTTGTTGCACTAGAAACATAAGAAGGACATCTCAAGGGCCCCTGTCATCAGCAAAGCAGGGTCTCTGAGAAAGGCTGTTCCAGGGATCTTTCTAAGTCGGGAGGTGGCTCTGGGGTCTCCTGACATCCTGGGGTCTCCTTGAAGGTCTGCCTCAAGCATGTGTTTCCCCCGGGCTCTCTGTGATCAAGAGATGTAGTGTCACACGCTATGACTTCAGGAGAAGGGCAATCTCTAGATTTTCCACGATCAGTAGAGAGAGGGTCTGTATCTCATGTCTCTCTTGTCATGGTGGCTGTCTCAGTGTCTGCACACCCTTGAGGAGCTCCTGAATGTCTTCATGACTGTCAGAGGGTTATCTCAGCAATCTGTGACCTGGGGAAGGGCTAGCCCAAGGATCTCCCCGATCAAAAGAGGAACTATACTTGAATTTCTCTGTATAGTGGAGTTTAACTCAGGGGTCTGCTCATGTAAGAGGATCCGTCTCAGGGGCCTGTGACCAATGGAGGGACCATCTCAGGGTTTTACATCAGGAGTCAGCAAATTTTTTCTGTATAGGGCCAGAGAGTAAACATCTTAGGCTTGTCAGGCCGCATGCAACTCTGCTGTAGCTACTTGACTCTGCTGTTGTAGCATTAAAGCAGCCACGGACAATAAGTAAATGAGTGAACGTGACTGTGTGCCAATAAAACTTTATTTACAAAAAGAAGTGGCGGGCCTGATTTGGCCAGCAGACCAGTTTGTTGACCTTGTTCTATGTGCCCCAGGGAAGGGTTGTGTGGGGGTCTCAGGGCTGCCTGAGCCCTCTCCCAGCCTCCCCTGCACCCCTCTCTTCCCGCCAGGATCTTGCGCATCCAGAAAGAGGCACCAATACTCCAGCGGAAGGAGCCCCCGCCCGCGGTGCTGGAGGCCGACCTGACGGAGGGCGACCTGGCCAACTCGCACCTGCCCTCCGAGGTGCTCTACATGCTCAAGAACGTCCGGTCAGTGTCGGGGTTCAGGTGGGGGGCTGCAGAGCTTGGGCCTGACCTGACCGCCTGCTTCCCGCCTTCCCCCTCCCTACACCGCAGGGTGCTGGGCCACTTCGAGAAGCCGCTCTTCCTGGAGCTCTGCCGCCACATGGTCTTCCAGCGGCTCAGCCAGGGTGACTACGTCTTCCGGCCGGGCCAGCCGGACGCCAGCATCTACGTGGTGCAGGACGGGCTGCTGGAGCTCTGTCTGCCGGGGCCTGTGAGTGGCCCGCCCGCACGGGCACCACAGCGAGATGGGCAGTGGGCATGCGCAGTGGATGGTCAGTAGGGTGGGTGGTCTTTTGCCATGTGCGTGCAGGAGTCGGGAACAGATGCCCAAGGGTGCTTGGGTCATCTACATGGTCAGCAGTGACAGTGATGGCCGGGAAATGGGTGCTGGTTGGAAGATTTGGTGCAATCAGGAATCCGGCCGTCAGTGGTCCCTGGGCTGGGTGAGGGTGAGGGCCAGTGGCGTGGTCAGGGGCTGGAGTGCCAGTTGGCAGGGCTGGGACAGCCCTGGTCAGCGGCCCCCTGTGTCTCAGGACGGGAAGGAGTGTGTTGTGAAGGAAGTGGTCCCCGGGGACAGCGTCAACAGTCTCCTGAGCATCTTGGATGTCATCACCGTGAGTGACCAGTATGCCAGTGAGGGCGGGGAGGCTGGAGAGGAGGACACACCCAAGTGTGAGCCCCCGACCTTGATTCTCCTCATCCCCCCCGCACCCCTAGGGTCACCAGCACCCTCAGCGCACAGTGTCCGCCCGGGCCGCCCGAGACTCCACGGTCCTGCGGCTGCCGGTGGAGGCCTTCTCTGACGTCTTCACCAAGTACCCCGAGAGCTTGGTGCGCGTGGTGCAGGTCAGCGGGCCTTCGGCCTCCCTCCACCGCCCGCCATCGCAGGCACCTGTGAGCTGGGACCCAGCAGCCAGCAGGCGCTCAAGCTGTGCTTAGGGGTCCTGAGCAGCCAAACTGGGGCAGCCCCTGCCTCCTCCCCCTAGCTTTTGGGCCCCATCTCTCCAGGCTTC